TGAGACACACATTCCTCCCCAGACCCTTTCCCTGGTGTGGAGGACCATGCCAGCACTCAGGTCTCCTGGCTCCCCCAGGCCCACGCTGCTGTGCTCACCTGTCCCACCACACCCCATCTTCTGGGGAAGCTGACAGGCTGGAGAGGAGCACAGACTGCACTAATGTCACCACAAGAACAACATTTTTCAGAGAGATCTGACACCCTGTGTCAGCAGTGTGGTCCAGGCTGGGAGACCCAAGGCTGCAGCTCAGGGCTGGTACATCTCTGAGGCACTCTGGGGCTTGCAGCCCTACAAGGACATGATGATTTATAAATATCTTTATTTTTTTTAAAAAAAAAGAATCTTTAAGAAATAAAAAACAACTCAAAAATTGAAACAAGAATTACACTGATTTCTGAGAGCTGGCAGTGGGAAGCAGAGCTGTCACATCCTTTGTGACAGATAACCCAAGCTTATTTTAAACCAAAACCAACCAGAGTTTTGCTTCTACTGAATTTTCCAATCTTTGTCCTTAATCCTCTGTGATTAATTACACCCTGATTTACTGAGATCAGAATAGATGGGACCAGAGATGGGCCATGTACAAAATAATAAGTATTATTCACATAAGCCTCTTAGTTCATGTAAATTGTAAATTTTCAAATGCTGGCAAAGGGAGTTCTTTTCATTGCCACAGTTTCTCTGGCTGTAATTAGTCCTGTAGGAGGATTATTCCTTCTCTTATCATTAGTAAGAAAGAAAAGATAATTTGCCACAACGATGTTGACTTCAGTGCCATTGATGGCTGTGGCTGGTGGGATTCCACATCAGAACAAGGGATTTACGGGACAGCACAGCCCCCAGAGTGCTGTGAGCTGGAGATTATCCGTGTCTCTCTCCTGCTCCTTTCCAGCCATTATCAAAACATTTGTGTGGGGAATGTGTTTGGCTGCTGGCTGGACGCTGATACAAATCTGCCAGCACTGGGTCCAGCTGTGCAGATGCTGAATTTTAGTGCTGCCAGTCCTGGGCCATCAGTGGGAACAGCACCTCCTCTGGTGGCTGGCATCCTGCCCTCAGATCCACCACAATCATGCCTTCAGTGTTAGCTTCCATATTTCTAGATCTATTTATTATATTATTTATATATTAATATATTTATATATTCATATATTCATATATTTATATATTTATATATCTATATATATTATATAATTATATATTTTTATATATTTATTTATATATTTATATATAAATATATTTATATTTATATTTATATTTATATATTTATATATGTATATATTTATATATTTATATATTTATATATTTGTATGTGTATATGTGTATATATGCAATATTTATGGTTTTGATTATTATTATAATGTTTATTATATTTATTGTATATTATTTATAATATTTATTAATATTTCCAGAATATTACAGATATTTCTGCACTGCCTTAGTGTGTGACTCTGAGCTCCACAGAACGTGGTAGCAAGTTCTCCTCACAGCTCAGTCAGACACAACAATCCTTTCCCAGCCCCAGAACCAAGGACACCGCTGCAGCTCCAGGCCCAAGAGGTGCAAACAGCAGGAAATTGAGGAGAGCAACCTGGGAGGATGGGACTGCAAACCTGGAGCTGGAATTGCACAATTAACCCCAGGATGGAAATGGAGCACAACTCATAAAAGTGTGAGAACTCATGAAACACCATCCTGG